GCGAGGGATCCAAAGAATCCTTCACTGATGCCGTAAAGCACGTAGTTGATGAGAGGTAGTTTCTTTCCACAATAAAACTGGATTTCATCTTTGTATATGGGAAACGAACTTCCTATCTTCGTCATTGCATAAACTAGAGATGGCCAAAGATGATGAAGGATACCAGGAACACCTTTTTTTCGACATTCTTTCAGAATATGTTCAGATCGTTCCAATCGATATTTTAATCCTCTGTACTCGATAGTCAGCTCATTTAACGCTCGATTGAGCTTTGCTTGAAATTTTGAATCTTGAATATTGTCTCCAACAAGAGAGCTATGATTGAAATTCGTAGAAGCGATGCAAAGACTCATTTCTTTAAAGTATTTTTCGATAATTTTAACGGTATGAATGAAGGTCGGAGCATATGAAACCGTACAGGAATATGTATCATGACATGTTAATGCAAAAATGAGCTGAACTAATGTATTTTTCTCAAAATCGAGAATTTCTTCAATCAAATTAATCGGAAGAATAGTGAGGCAAGACTCCATCATTCGACTGCCATGATCAAGAGGAACTGCTGAAAAACATTGGGAAATCGAACCTAACAGTGTGCCATCTTTCGACCGTGGATACGATTCGGGTTTCTTGCCACTACTCAGTTGAAATGTTCGTTGTTCAGGAGAGGGAAACAATGAAGGAAGAGATCTCCAAATCACACAGTGTGAAAGACATCCCAGCGTCACCATATTTCTTATCATGGTTACAGTCGTCGGAAGAAGTTTCGTCTTTGCCGTTGTTCCTGAACTAGTCGCAAAGTAGATGATTTTTTGAGAAGAGAGTAGGTTTCTTCCTCCATTATGAATTAATTCGCTAAAGGAGGTTAGCCTTGAAAACAATAAAATAGTTCATGTTTCTTTTTTTATTGCCTTCACAGTATTCGACTGAATTTTTTTCAGTTATTGATTGTTATGCACAGATCGTCAGGAAATATTAACTGCTTTTTTTTACCTATATTAGTTCGAATATGTATAAGATTTATTTAGCAAAAGATGCACTTTAACGATCGCAGCTTTATTGTTCCCTTCAAACATAATTCACGAGCAGTACAGATAATAAACATGAGTTTTTTATTTTTATTATATCCTTTTTCGTCTTTTCATATGATTTCCTGTCATCTGTTCCTTCGACAATCAAATGAATGTATGGTAAAAACATGTATCTATTTCTCTTTCTTTTATGTTTCTTTTATATAATTTATAAATTTATAATCAAGATGGAATCGTTGGATTTCCAAGATTTAGAATTCCGTGGGAATGCCGGAAATATTATGGGAATACTGTGAATCCTGGAAATACAGAATCTGTCGATTCTCCTGGAATATTTAGGTGAAATCTTTTTAGAATTTTGATTTTTATTGTAAATCGAACCTGGCAGGTAAATATGAGCTTCAATGGATGCTATGAGTCGAAGAAATTCTCTCACAAGCCTTTTGACTTCCCTTTATAAGGAATAAAAAAAAGAGAATAAAAAAATAAGTAACACTGTAAAGACTAAATAAATTAGGAAAATATTCAAATTAATCAAATGTGTTAGTCCACGTTTTCACTTTGATTAATTAAACTTGTTCCAATGTTAAAAGTCCTGTAATATGATTCGAAAAATCACTCATTTTTAGACTCATTCTTTTGATTATGAAAAAACATTTCTGCGATCATGGAAGAACATATACATAAAATCCTATAAAAACCTTTCCAACCTTCCCTTAAAGATGTTGTCAGCGAATTACGAAACACTAGAGTCAAAGCAGTATATAAAAATATATATGGGCTAAACCATTCGTTAGCGATGTGACTTCAAAAAATTAAAATATGTGTATCTCGGGATAATGAGCTTTCTTAGATCCGATTTTTATATGTTGCATGGACATTAAGTTACTCTAGATGCAAACTAATGTTAGCGGCATGGCACAAAATAGGACATCGATTTTCACTTCATGTCTTTTAGTTTTTAAAAACTGCAATTTCATGCACAATTTTAGAAAACTAAATAGGACATTCTGTAGAAGACTCTTGAAGCTATAAAATCTATGTGCAACATTTTTTCTTAGCATTCCAAGATTTTTCCAAAAAAACCGGTTTATTTGTTGTTAGTGATGTGACGCAGTACGACTACACAACCGAGAAGATGCTCTTGTAACTAACAGAAAAGTTCGAAATCGACTTCAAACGTTACAAATCATTACTCAGAGTCTCTAGATGATGATAAGACAAAAGTTTTCGTTTCTGCACGTTTTTGGGTCTCTAGAAGATCGGCTTTCTTGGAAGGAATGTTTTTTTTTGAAGTCCAATCGTGCTGAAAATTTTCACCATAGATACAACTTATGCTCTAGAGCCTGTCGTGAAGTCTTCAGATTTTTTTCTCATCTGGTTAGCGAGATATTCGCTAATTACTTTTTAATTAATAATCTTGTGAAAGACCAAACATTTTTACATTAGTCTATGCTAAAAGAATTTATCAAAAAAATTCAGTGTTATAGAGAATAAAACTCAAATGAAAAGCGTATATGTCTTGTTTTGCCTGATTTAGCTCACATATACTTACGAGGGAACCGATACAACTGATAAATCGCTTTTGAGTTCCGACTCTGTGCATAAGATAGACCTCCGTGAGGTATGAGAAACCCTGAAAGGACAAGTGCCCATAGGCCTTCTGTCCAGAGTTCTAGGCATTTTATTGGAATTTTAGCCTATGACATGGTGTATACCAATACATCGAATGACAGTATTTCGAGCTGAGATTTTGCTCACAGAGGGGCCTATTTGTGAGTAGAATGTCCTGAAAATTTCAGTTCAAAAGAGTGTTTCCTTCCCAAGATATTAAAGTTCCAAAAAGTAGGAAATTCTAGCGACTTTGTGGGATATGCGCGATTTTTGAGGCTGTAATATCTCGGGAGAAAAATGTTCTTTTGAGCTGAAATTTTTAGGATATACTACTAACAAATAGACTCCTCTGTGGGCAAAATCTCAGCTTGAAATACCGTCATTCGATTTATTGGTATATACCGTGCCATAAGCTAAAATTCCAATAAAATGCCTAGAACTCTGGACAGAAGGTCTATGGGCACTTGTCCTTTCAGGGTTTCTCATACCTCACGAGGGTCTATCTTATGCACAGAGTCTGAACTCAAAAGCGATTTATCAGTTGCATCGGTCCCCTCGTTAGAGCATTCCAAAAATAGTGGCGATCCTATTGCAATTTCGTATAGACAGCTTGAGAAAATTTTCTTTTTATAAAGACTGATAGCACAAACAAAGCTCTACATTTCTATGCTAGTTGATCATTATTCATCCAATATTGTAATTAATAAAATTTTCATTCGACTTGTTCAGCTACAATATGTAACGATAACAGTAAGGGAAAAATAGCGGAGGAATATTTTTAGAATAACTTTTGGTAGAAATAAGATAGCGAAATGCAGTTTTAACCGTTGGAAAGAAGGGATGAAGATGCATCAAATCATTTATTACGCGACTTACTAATCAATTTGTAAAAGCTTTTCGGTCCATCTTTTCGAAAATAAACATGACCCTTTGGATTATTCACAGTGAATTTTCACTTATCAAGTTTGCACTCAAATAATGAATTCAAGATCTACAAAAGTGCGAAAATGTTAGCAGTTTATATTTTATGATTAAGCAGTTCTCGGTATTCTAGTCGATCTCTAAGTCGATTCCCTAGCGAATACTGTGGAAAAAATCCTCTTTTTCTGCTTTTTCTTTTTTTAATAAAAAAAAAACATTTTCCCGACATTTTGAAAAACAATTGAAGAAAATTCAGTAATCACATTAGAAAAGGCTAATATAGTTGATTCGATACATCTTCATCCTCTCTTTTCAACGATTAAAACTGCAGTTCTCCATCTTATTTTCATCAAAAGTTATTCTAAAAATATTTCTCCGCTGTTTTCCCCTTACTGTTATCGTTACATATTGTAGCTGAACGATTCTAATGAAAATTTTACTATTACAATATTGGATGAATAATGATCAAATAGTATAGAAATGTAGAGCTTTGTTTTTACTATTAGTCTATATAAAAAGAAAATTTTCTCAAGCTGTCTATATGAAATTGCGATAGGGCCGCCACTACTTTTGGTATGCCCTAACTAGAATAAGGTCTTAGATAGTCATCACATCTGCAGCTTGCATCCTATCATAATCATGACTATCTTAGTCGAATCACTAGAGTTATGTATAGTTGATTGAATGAAATGAAAAACCTTTCCGAGTCTTCGATCGATAATGATTCAATTGATAAAATACCTTATAGAAATAATTAAATACTTTCAAAAAAAAATTTAAATTCATTGGTAGACACGTCTAAATCATACTCAACAATAGAATGTATCGTTTAATGAATAAAGTATATTTTCACTGACTAAAAAGATTTTGAAACCAAAGCTATCAACAAACAAGACATATCAATAAGGAAAACGTTACCGATGGAACGTTTACAAATGTTTAAACGAATGAGTTGAAAGCAAAAACATGTATTAACAAATAGAGTTCAGTCTATTGAGTCAACTTGACACAAAAAAAGAACTTTTGTGAAAGCATACCTCATTGAGTGCTGGCTCACACTGTGTTCTATGTTCATGTTTCTAATACCTATCCATGTTTTGCTTTTGGATAAGATCGAAACTTTTTGAAGCATTGTCTTTGTTCGACATAGCCTGATTATTTTGGTACTCATTAAGAGGCTATCCATACCCAAGAAATGAGCACTTTTTTGAAAGAAAACAAATATGTCACTATTTAATATTCTAAATTATGATTACTAATGTAATTAATCCTGTTATTTTAGATATTTTCTAATTTTTTAAGACTTTGCAACTTTTCAGCATAGGAAAGGCATTATCGATAACTTGAAAGGTAATTTATAGAAAAGTATTCTAGTGAACAATGAATACTTACTGAAAACTATCTTTTACCAAATACTGTTTTTTTTTACTATAGATGAATAAAAATTCTACGAGTGATGATGCTATCTCAGTTGAGAATTCACCTGCTGCACAACATCCTCATGTTGACAATGAGCAACGTGGAAACTCAACGCAAAATGAATTTATTTCAGCAAAATGTACTACCGCTACTAATACAACAAAGAAGTTGTCAATGACTCCGACACTTTTGTATGTCATTTTCTTTTATGTTCAATCATCATAATGTATAGAATGTTTTTATTAGAGAACATTCAGTTTGGTCACGGCGTCGATCTTCAATTGCTGCAGGTGTATTTGCTATATTCACAATTATAGCAATAAGTATTGGTATATTGACTGTTTGTTTCACTTCACCAAAAGCTACTGGTATGTTCTTTTTTATTGATATGTTAGCCACTTTCTATAGATAAAATAAGATTACATGGAGGATCTGTAACTAAACACTCAAAATAACAGGTACGAGCGTTTCTGATGGAATACGTCGATCGAAGTCATAGTTTTGTAATTGTAAGAAAAAGAAAAGTTGAACTAAATAATTGCGCATGTGTCACACAAAAATTATCGATCACTATTCGTTGTTCTTATCAACGAACCATTGACTCTACATTTACAATGAAGATCGTCATTTAGTGCGTCATCTATCTCTTCTCCTTTACTTATATATTGTGCTGCTCGTGCATGATTACTCGGCAAGTAGATTCACATCCCTTTCTCTATCCTCATAGTTTTGTCTATTTCTGTATTCTCTTTGTTAATATAATCATTAATTCAAAATACTAATAGAAGCTCTGAAAGTATTACCTAACACAATAATTTTGATAACCGTTTGAGCGTGTAAGAATATGAAACTTTCATCTATTTTATCAAACGTTTAGCAAAATAAATACTAGAAAAAATTATTATAAAATGCAGTGGTGATTACATTTGAACATGTAATTTGGCGCACTCTTACACACTTCACTCATATTGTATTAGTTGATGTTTGTCTTCGTTCTCAAAGATGATGCACTTTTTGAACAAATTCTAGAGTAAATCGAAGAAAGGAAATAGAAAATTAACTTGCATGATATAGTCGCATATATCTAGCTCTATCTGAATTTCAAGAAACTCAGTAGAATTCTAATGAAAGATGATTGATTTTGAGTTGCGTACAAATCCAGTAATACGACAATTTCTGACAGCATACTATAGAACTTGTGAGGATCCGATACGACCAAACAGAGATAGTAGCACTTGAGCAACCAATCAGTCATCACATTGCTTTTTATTTGTCGTTTAGTTCAAAAGTTTGAGCTCAAATGCAAACCAACGGCTCAAAAACCAGTTGAATACAAGTATGGTCCACGATCTGTTGCCGTTGGTGATTTCGACAATGACACATGTTTGGATATGGTTATTGCTCATCATACAGTTAACAAAATAACTGTTTATCTTGGATATGGTAATGGCACCTTTAAAAGTCCAATTCTGTATTCAACGGGTTCCTACTCAAGCCCTTACATAGTCATAGTTGGTTATTTCAACAACGATTCTTACTTGGATATTGCAGTAGCAAATTTTGGCACGAACAATATCGTTATCTTTCATGGATTTGGCGATGGGTCTTTCGCAAATCAAACAGAACTTTCAACAGGCTCCTCTCGTCCAATAGCGATTATCGGTGCTCATTTCAACAATGACACACTACTTGATATTGCCATAGTTAATTACGGAAACCACAGTATCAGTATATTCTATCAATATGGAAATGGAAGTTTTTCGCCTCCATTTACATATCCGACAGGTTACGATTCTTTTCCGTCTTCATTAGCTGCTGGAGATTTCAATAATGACAACTATTTAGACCTGGCTATTGCCAATTATGGCACTAACAATATTGTGATACTATTTGGAAATAGCAACAGTACTTTTGCAAAGCAAATTACCATCCCAACTGGCATTGATTCTCAACCATACTCCATTGTCGTTGGTGATTTCAATGCAGACAACTTTCTCGATATCGCTATCGCTAATTCTAGAAGTCATGAAGTAGGTGTGCTCCTAAATAATGGTAATGAAACTTTCGCTAATCAAGACAACTATTCCATCAATTCTGCTTCTCCAATTGCCATTTCGGTAGGAGACTTCAATCAAGATAATCGATTGGACATAATCACCACGAATCAAGGCGCTGAAAATATAGCCATACTTCTTGGATACGGGAACGGCAAATTTGCAAATTCAATTATGTATTCAACCGGATCTTCTTCTTCGATTTCAGTTGCCGTAGGTGATTTCAACAAGGACCACCGATTAGATATTGTCGTTGTAAACAATGATACTGGTGTCATTGATATTCTTGTTGGACATTACGAAGGCTTTCAAAATCAAATAAGGTATTCAGTTGGCTCTTTTCCACAATCTGTATCTATTGGTGATGTTAACAACGACACTCGACTAGATATCGTTGTCGCCAATAGGGATAGCAATGATGTGAGCATCCTTCTTGGATATGGAAACGGTTCTTTTGAAAGTCAAACAAGGTATGCAGTTGGCTCTTTTCCACAATCTGTAGCTATTGGTGATGTCAACAACGACATTCGACTAGATATCGTTGTCACCAATTACTATAGCAATGATGTGAGCATCCTTCTTGGATATGGAAGCGGTTCTTTTGAATATCAAACCAGGTATTCAGTTGGCTCTGGCCCATTTTCTGTAGTTATTGGTGATGTCAACAGCGACACTCGACTAGATATCATTGTCACCAATATGGATAGCAATGATGTGAGTATCCTTCTTGGATATGGAAACGGTTCTTTTGAAAATCAAATACGGTATTCAGTTGGCTCTTTTCCACAATCTGTATCTATTGGCGATGTTAACAACGACACTCGACTAGATATCGTTGTCGCCAATAGGGATAGCAATGATGTGAGTGTCCTGCTGCAATATAACAAAGGAGCGATTACATACGAAATGAGCTTGGCACCTGGTGGTGGTTCTAGCCTACGATGCGTAGTCATTGATGATTTGAACAAAGACACTAATCTGGATATCGTCTTAGCTAATTATGGCACTAATAATGTCGGCGTCCTTCTTGGATATGGGAATGGTAGTTTTGAAAATCAAATGATGCTCAACACTGGCACGAATTCTCATCCGATTTCTATAGCAGTTGGGGACTTCAATGGTGACCGTGAAGTAGATATTGCTGTGGCCAATGATGGTACAAAGCATGTAGATATGATGCTTGGAAATGGGCAGGGAAAATTTGCAATTCAAACAAGTTATGAAATTGGTTTTGATACACCTCCGTTAGTTATGGCTTCTGGTGATTTTAATAATGACGTACGATCGGAGATCGCTATCGCTTACGATGGACGTGATCATGTGGATATCTTTGTTGCGTATAATTATGGTTCTTTTGAAACTCAAACAAGGTATTCAGTTGGCTCTGGTCCATTTTCTGTAGCTATTGGTGATGTTAACAACGACATTCAACTAGATATCGTTGTCGCCAATAGGGATAACAATGATGTGAGTATCCTTCTTGGATATGGAAACGGTTCTTTTGAAAATCAAACAAGGTATGTAGTTGGCTCTTATCCATCATCTGTAGCTATTGCTGATGTTAACAATGACACTCGACTAGATATCGTTGTCGCCAATTTGGCTAGCAATGATGTAAGTGTCCTTCTTGGATATGGGAACGGTTATTTCGAAAATCAAACAAGGTATTCAGTTGGCTCTTATCCATCATCTGTAGCTATTGGCGATGTCAACAATGACACTCGACTAGATATCGTTGTCGCCAATGGGTATAGCAATGATGTGAGTATCCTTCTTGGATATGAAAATGGTTATTTTGAAACTCAAACAAGGTATTCAGTTGGCTCTTATCCAATATCTGTAACTATTGGCGATATCAACAATGACACTCGACTAGATATCGTTGTCGCCAATGGGTATAGCAATGATGTGAGTATCCTTCTTGGATATGGAAACGGTTATTTTGAAAATCAAATACGGTATTCAGTTGGCTCTTCTCCACAATCTATATCTATTGGTGATGTCAACAACGACACTCGACTAGATATCGTTGTCGCCAATTTGGCTAGCAATGATGTAAGTGTCCTTCTTGGCCATGACAATATAGTGTTTGTAAAGCAAATGATAGTGGTAACTGGAAATGATTCCCGACCACAGTCGTTAGTGATTAGCGATTTTAACAATGATGATCTAATGGATATTGGCGTCGTTAATTCACATACTCACAATATTGGTATTTTTCTTGGATATGGAAATATCTCTTTTGCAAATCAAATGACATATTCAACACACCCATATTTATCTCCATGCTGTATGGCTGTCGGTGATTTCAACAATGATTCTCAAGTGGATGTCGCCTTTGTTAGTTGTGAGATGAACAGTGTTGGTATTATTCTTGGATATGGAAATGGCTCTTTTAAAAATCAAATGATGTATCCAACAAGCTCAAGTTCGTCTCGATACTCTTTAGCTGTTAGTTACATTAACAACGACACTATACTGGACATTGTCGTCGCGAATTATGATGCCAATTATCTAGGCGTACTTCTTGGACATGGAGACGGCACTTTTGAAAGCATTATGCCAGTTCAGTTGGATTATGGTTCCAATCCATTCTCGATTGCCATTGGAGATTTCAACAATGATAAAAAACTAGATTTTGTCGTCGCCAATAATGGCACTGACAGTTTAAATATTCTCTTACAGACTTGTTAGTATTTTTAGCTCGTACTTTATATTTTTCTATCACTTACTTATTTCATATGCTCTTATATTTAATAGAATCATAGTTGAAATATCCAAATGTTTCTAAGTGTGAAAGATGAGTGGGGAAAGCTTGGGTTTGGTTGTAGATTCCTGATGATGTAAGCCTTAGTGTATGATTGAGAGTATGAATGATTGTCTGCAAGTATTAATCTGACTGTAGTAGAAAAGCATCTAGATCCATACTCGCATACCACAAAAACGTTTTTTTTTGTATCAATGACAAGTGTCATGATGAAACCTATCGCAACGATGAAATTGATTATTACGTCGAATATTCAAGTTTATCGAGCTTTTTGAGAGCCATTATCACGTGGAATGCAATCGTATTGTAAGTACTTAGAGATCAACTCTTGCTTCATGGTAACCTAGTTCAGTATGACTCTATGAATATCATCAAACCACTATCATCTATGAGTTACATTCCTTGCTTGCTAATGATGATTATCAATACCATAATGTCAATATGTGCAAGAGAAACTATAGTTTCTTGAGCATGGGAGAATCAAAAGTTCAACCTGCAGTTGTGTTCATTGAAGGATGTGGGTGCGGATGCCGAATGCTGGATGAAATTCTTCACCACACCCGCTAACCCATGCACAATTGAACATTAATCAATTTCAATGATGATCGTGTTGTTGTTTTGAATAATACAGATCAACTACCCTACTGATGGTGTGGGTGTAAGCACTGGGTTGAGAATAATACACCCATACTCAATTCGTCTCGATCAACTCTCTTACCCACGATACCTATTCTTCCATCGAGATCATTCAGTATATGTGTCTGATTGTGGAAATCATTATGTGATGAAATGGATGGAAGATGCAAAAGAAAGACATTGTCTTAACTGGTAGTCAAGGAGAAGGAGATGGTCTTACACAATTGTCATATTCAAAAGGAGTCGTTGTCGATTAAATGGGCGCTGGCTATGTGATCGATACAAGGAATGATCAAATCATGCATTGACCCAAAGGAGTAACACACGGAAGTGTCATTGTTGGTAGAAACGGTGGAGGAGGAAAATCGAAACAACTCAATGACCCCATTGGTTTGTCATTCGATTGACATGGCAATCTGTATGTCATCGACTGGAAAAAATCATCGAATATAAAAATTCAATATTAAATTCAACAAGTGAAGGACTAGGAAGCCAAAGCAAAGTTATTTTTGTATGATATACGCTCCTGACAATATACAAATACATGCCCTATCGGAATTCTAGAAATCCTTGAAAAATTATAATAAAATATACTCTAAACCCCCTCCCAGAATAAAAGGGCATGCCCTTATACAGTGTCTTGGCACATTGCTACGTTTTGGATGGCCTTCTATTGGGGGTCAATTTTTGGCGAGTTTTTAATTAAAATTATTTAAAAAATTAATAATTAATTAATAACTTTAATTATTGCTATTTAGGTGATTTTTGCTGAAAAAACTACCATCTTTTGTAAAAATTGTACTATTTATGATAGGAAAGGAAGGATTTCGCAAAAAACATTAGAAAATCGGTTATATTTCCTTAATTATTAATTAATATTTATAAAAACTTCGATAATTTTAGAATATATTAATTAATTAGTAAATGGCCTTCTAATAGAGCGTTTGAACTTTTGCTCGGACATGGCCTTATACAGGGGGTGGCCTTCTAATATAGGGTGGCCGTCTATTTGGGGGGGGGGGGGCTTTACTAATAGTGAATAAAATATCTGACCAAATTAAGTAAGACCCAACGCCATTTATGCGCAAGGAATCCGAAACCTTGGAAACCTTGAAAAATTTCAACATATCCTGTTCATTAAAGATGAATCAAAGTCATTACAAAAGCTTGTATTTAGACGCTCCTGATACTGCTTGACACTGTCCAACGCTCGAAAAACTATAGGTTCTCTGGAAATCCTCGTTTCTTGCATTGGTAGCGTCACTTCTGAAATGCATGAGAGACCTTCGAACCCTTGAACACAGTCACTCTGGAAACAGTTTCCACCATTGAAAACGCCAAGGAATCCTTAAATTCCTTGAAAATTCTAGCACAATCCACTTACATCATCAACAAAATATCTGACTAAATCCAGTACGACCCTATACATTTTGTACGCAAGGTTTTCGAAACCTTGAAAAATTTCCGTATATCATATTCATTAAAAAATAATTAAAGTGATTAAGAAACTTGGTTTTTTCAGATTTCTGATGATTTCTGCAACATGCCAACACCTGCGAAATCAATGATTCTCTGAAAATCCTTAGTTTTTTCATTAAGTTTGACCAAACAAAATGCGATGAAATTCTTCAGATCCTTGAATTTCTTCATTTTACCATCGATCCTGATCGGTTAAAGTGCCAAGGAATCCTTGGATCCTGTTATTTCTTTGGTTTCCGACAGCTCTTGATTGTTCAGAGCGCTAGGCAATCCTTGCTGTCCTTGGATTTCAAATCACTCTTAACTATTCCAAGTGCTGGAAAATCATTGGATTTATTTGAGTCATTCGTTTCCAGGCTATTCTAAAATGTGCCAACTGTCAAGGAATCGCTGAAATTCTTAGATTTCCTAGCATTTCCACCATTTCTCACTGTCCCAAGTGTTATGGCATCCTTGGAATTCTTGGCTTGGTTAGCTTTTGCACAACTTCTGACTTCAGAAAGTTTTGAGGATTCCTTAGATTTCTTGGCTTTCCCCCGTTCTTTACTGTTTCAAGTGCTATGGTATCGTTGGAATTCTTGGATGCCTTAACTTTTCCAACATTTCTGAGTGTTGCAAGAGTTAGGAAATCCTTCCAATCGTTGGGTTTCTTCTTTTCTCCAACATATAGACTGTTGAAAGTGTTCGGAAATCCTTGGAAACTTGGATCTCTTAGCTTTCCGACCATGTTTGACGGATCCAAGGATGTGGAATGGTAGGAATCATTGGATTACGGAGCTGTCCGACCGTTCATGATTGTTCCAAATGCTATGAAATCTTTAAATTCTTCGAGTTGCTTATGTCTCGACCATTCTCGAATCTCGCAAGTGGTATGGAATCCTTGGATTCCTTGAAGTCGTCAGCTTTCCAGCAGCGTTGCTGGCCACAAGTGGTGAGGAATCCTTGGATTTCTTGGAGTCTTTAGCTTCCAGCAGCTTTACTGGCCACAAGTGATGGGGAATCCTTGTGATCGTTTGTTCATTGACCTCTCGATCACTCTTGAGTGTCCCAAGAAGTATGGAATTGTTGAATTTCTTAGGTTTCCCAACAATTCTGAGTGTTCACAGTGCTAAAGAATCCTTGGATTTCTTTGCATCCCGACCTTTCTTGACTATCCAAAGTGCGGTGCAATCCCCGGATTTCTTAGCTTTCAGACCACACTTGACTGCCTTATGTAGCACTGAACGATGGGCTAGAAAAGCAAATTGGGCCATTGATATCGGTAGAATTAAATCAATGACAATCAGAACGTAAGTAATGTAGATAATGTAATAGATATCAGATGAAGAACAACTTTCGTTATTGATTGTTGTTAGCACTGGTACGTGGATGGAAATGCTATGCCAAAAGATAAAGACAATTCCTATGATGTATCAAGCAGTCGACGGTCGATTTATGAATCGAAAACGAGCGTTATTAGTTGTTCAGACAAAACGATCAATGCATGCGAATACAGTAAGATTTCGAGCAATTTGACCCCATCCATGAGTGAAATAGTAGTGAAATTTGCAAAAAACAAGAGAATTGTTGAATCCAGATAATCAAGACTATAGAACGATACTGAAACGTTGAATAGAAGAAAACCCAAGGTGAAAACAGCAAACAGTGAGCTTGTGGGTTAAAATGAGTTTAGATGATTTATCTGATTCAAAAACTATGCGAATAATTCTTTCATAAAGGAGCAACTAGAGTCAATATTATTTTTTTATACTGTGCAATAAAACCCGAAAATTATAGTGTACGTGTTCAGTTTATTCAGATCGTAAATAACTTAATTGCTCGAACAGCACATAACGCTGCACGAGAAAACACTAAAGATCTGCATGTCTAAACGTCATGCGGAGCTGACATTGTGTATAAAAAATCTAGATTGAGCCACATATTTTATAATCGTCTTCCTCCATATTCATTTGACTGGATGCATATATTATGGCTGCGAGGAGGATACACTTTAGTTCATTATCTTAAACGCAGAAATCGAAAAACACATCATTCAGTTTTTCTTATAGAAGAAATATAATGTATGGGAAAAAAAATATAGAAAAGTTTAATGACTCTCTTTAACCCAATTTGTTCGATCAGAAGACGAAATAGATTTTGTTTTCGAAAAATACCAATTTGCGGTCTGTTTGTGCATGTCTTCTGTCCGTTTATCTTAACTGTAAAGAAAGATTTCGATTGGCGCAGTTATCGATGGAATCAAAAACATCCATGCCATGAACTGTAGGGTGTGGGTGTGGGTGTGGGTGTGGGTGTGGGTGTGGGTGTGGGTGTGGGTGTGGGTGTGGGTGTGGGTGT